GTTTCTATGTATGATTGAAGATGGAAACAATGTTGGTATAGGAAGAAAATGTTGGGAATATGGATTTTGTGGTTATATAACTTGGATAAATTTCTAGACCTTGAATTGGAAATCACTTTCCAAATATTTTATTTCATCGCTCTAATGTCTTAGTTCACAAGAAATCAGTATTGGAATAGTCTAGAAATTTCATAAAATAAGACATTGATTTCGCATGTATATATGTAATATATATATATCCATCAGATCACAAATTATGTATTTATGATGGTTACGAGTGTTTAATTGATAACAACTGTTGATGGATAAGATCGAAGAGCACTTACAATCGAATCAAAGTTCAAAGTCGAAGTCTGAGTCCATTTAGGACTGAGTCAGATACCAGACCAAAAGTCTGGACAGAAGGTTCAGATGTCTAAATCCATTGATTCAAACTTTAGACTTAGTCTAGAAGAAGTCTGAACAATAGGTATAGATCTTCGATTTCATTAGTCCAGACTTATGATTTTTTAGCTAATTCCCTCAAGTCTGAAACCACATTTTCAGATCTTTGATATAGAAGGATCAGATGTCTAAGTTCATTATCAAATTTTAAACTTAGTGAAAATTTTACTAAGTTCGACTCTTCATAAATTTCAGAAACCTTGAGGATTGTCCGAAACCCTGTTAGGGGTGCTGCCCTAGACCCCCGCCAAGGGGCTGTGCTCCTTGGAACCCCACAAGGGGGTGCGATCCCATTGACCCCTGACCTTATGACGATCTAGGGTGATAGGATTAACATTTGTGAGTGTGCACTCCGCATCCTTACTTATTTATGTTTGTCTCATTATTTTAATCGATCTCAAGTAAATCAAGATTACACCAAATGGTTGATGACATTAAAATCACCAAAAAAAATAATTGACTCTTTTACTAAACAAGAATTTCAGTTTTCTTGTACAATTCAAGGTAACCAAGAGCATTTGTGGTTAGGGGTGTTCAAAAAAACCGTTGGATTGCTTAAACCAATCGAATCAAGTCAAACTGGACCGTTTTTGGTGGTTTGAGCGGTGTAGCGGTTTGGTCTGGTTTGGAAAATAGCAAAATCGGGCGGTTCGGTCCGGTGCGGTCTGGAACCTTTTTTGGGCGGTTTGGACCAAACCCATCGCCAAATACATACATACACACACACACACATATATATATATATATATTAGTATTAGCAAGCCCAAATTTTATAAGTTATGGGCTATCCCAAATATATCCCTAAGCCTAACATCTAACATAATAAAATCCAAATGAATCGGCGCCTAAAAATCCCTAAACCAGTAAACATATCGACACATTTGATATTGACGGTCCTCAAATTTTGAAATCTCTCAAAAACTCTATCAATCTTTCCTAATCCATGGTTTGATTTCAGCGCACATCATCGAGACATCAACCAAGTGATTCAACTATTTCCTTCAAGTTTTTCTATTCCAAACTCAATCTGTTCAAGTCCATTAAAAGCCCAAACCGCCCAAACCGGTTAGACCACACCGCCTTTTCGTGGTCTGATTTGACCGTTCTAGACACTTGATGTCAAACTGCTCAGTTTGAAAATTTTATAGTCCGCCATTATGGTTTGGTTTGTGGTCTAAGGGGTTAAATCGCCCAAATCGGACCACGAACACCCCTATTTGTGTAGTATGTCGAGGTAGAAGCTCACGAATGAAGTGACAATTAAGCTATAGATAAAAACAAAAGTTTGTGCTCATTATAAAAATAACATTGTTAACTATAAGGAATTGTTCTTGTCGTCTCTCACTTTAGTTTTTGATCTTTCGTTCAAATACTACAAAAAATTTAGGGTTATAGGATACCTAAAATATCTACGTGTCCAAATACAATGATTTATATGACCTAAGTTTATAGCATCCAACAATAAACGTCCTACATATAAATGTTAGATGTTATAACCGGGTTGTTTTTAAATTAGTTTGGAAGTTTAAGGTGGGTTCTGGTTAGTTGTCAAAAGTGTAGGGATGTATTTTGAATATTTGTTTAAAACGTTTAATCTCCAACTCCTCTTTGTATGTGTATATATATATATATAGGGGCCTATTCAAGGGAGAACTGAGTTGTTTGTGGTAACTGTGAGAACCAATATTAACCATAAATCAATAGATAAATTAGGAAATTTATAAATTTGGTAATTTTAAACTAAAACCTTAATGCAAGGATATTTTTGGTATTTTAAAACTTTCCTCTCTCCTCTCTTCTCTCTCCGGCCACCGTTCTCCGGCCTCCGGCCACCGTCCTCCGATGATACCACTATGATACCACTGTGATACCTAAAAATATTGACTCTGTTAAACAAAAGATACATTGTGATATCTAATCATATATAAGATGCATAATGATACCACTGTGTTACATCTTCGATCGACCACACAAACGACAACAATGTGATACCCAAACACATATATGATGCATTGCGATACCATTGTAGTATCACCGGAGGACGGT